CACGGCCTTATTCTCCATCCACAACCATATCGCCTGGCTCTATCTGGTTCAAACAAACGGAGGTAACTTGTTCTCATGAGGTGAAGGATGTACTTCTGCACAGCAGAAAACCTTCAACTCAAGCTACTTGCCTTCATAAATGGTGCAGATTCCAACAATGGTGCATTGCCAATAACTTACTCCCTACCACTTCCTCATTGCAATCCATACTGGAATACATTCTACACCTTTTACAAACAGGCCTCGCTATTTCTTCGCCGCCAGATGCACTTTGAGCGATCACGGCATTTCATCAGCCCAGAGACGGGTTCATCCCCTTTTCTCACCCAACTGCAAAGAAATTCCTAAAAGGAATTACTAATCTCTTCCCTGAGTACAAGCGACCTCCAGACTCTTGGAACTTAGAGCTCGTCTTAGATACACTAATGCGTCCACCATTTGAACCATTAGCTACATGTGATTTTAATACGCTTGCCATGAAAGTCATATTCCTTTTGGCTATTACTTCAGCCAGAAGGGTGGGGGAGTTGGCAGCTCTATCGGCCAAGAGCCCGTATACCATTTTCACTCCTCAGGCGGTTATCCTTCATTCTCAGCCATCCTTCCTGCCAAAAGTTAATTTTGCCTTCCATATAAATGAGCCCATCATATTACCGGTTTTCTATCCAAAACGCCATACCTCAGAACATCTAGCAAGGTTACATTCCCTCGACGTACGTAGGGCCCTTGCTTTTTACATCGACAGAACTTGAGAAGCAAGGAATTCGCAGCACTTGTTCATCTCCACGGATGCTCGTTCTAAAGGTTCCCCGCTTTCCTCACAGAGAATCTCTAAAATAATCATTTCCTGCATAACTCAATGCTACAAACTGAGAAATAGACCACTTCCACACACCATTACAGCTCATTCTACCAGAGTGATGGCTTCTTCAGCGGCTTTCCATAAGGGAGTTCCCCTAAGGGACATCTGCCAAGCAGCTACCTGGTCTTCGGACTTCACATTTGCCAAACATTACGCTCTACAGAATATCATTATGACTGATGCAGCTATAGCCACCCTGGTGCTAACCTTGGCAACAATCCACTGATTCCGAACCCGCCGCCTTCTTTCAGGCTACTGCTGTGAGATCACCCACAGTGGAGCACCCATGGGAACACTACCCGAAGAAGAAGTTACTCACCTTGTGCAGTAACGATGGTTCTTCAAAATGTGTTTGTCCCATGGGTGCTCCACTACCTGCCCTCCTCCCCGCTTCGGAGTCTTTCTTATGTCTTCCAGACTTCAGCAGTCACGAGGAACTGGCAGGCCGGACCATGCGACTGGAAACGGTGCGAAAAGCCGCAAGATGGCCACCATACATGCGTGGTCCGTAAAACAACAGCTAGAAGATCTCCGATCTGTGGTGCTGGGATGGGACCTGACGCGCACAGTGGAGCACCCACGGGGACACACCTTGAAGAACCATCGTTACTGCACAAGGTGAGTAACTTCTTCTTCGGGTAGTGTTCCCATGGGTGCTCCACTGTGGGTGATCTCACAGCAGTAGCCTGAAAGAAGGCGGCGGGTTCGGAATCAGTGGATTGTTGCCAAGGTTAGCACCAGGGTGGCTATAGCTGCATCAGTCATAATGATATTCTGTAGAGTAGCTGTTCGGTTCCCAGCCTGTAACAATTCTTAAGATTCTTCTGTCCCAAGTGCAGGACTCTGCACTTGTCCTTGTTGAACCTCATCAGATTTCTTTTGGCCCATTCCTCTAATCTGTCTAGGTCACTCTGGACCCTATCCCTGCCATCCAGCGTATCTACTTCTCCCCCTAGCTTAGTGTCCTCTGCAAACTTGCTGAGGATGCAATCCATCCCCTCATCCAGGTCATTAATAAAGATGTTCAACAAAACTGGCCCTAGAACAGATCCTAGGGGCACTCCGCTAGAAACCAACCGCCAACCTGACATCGCGCCATTGATCACTACCTGTTGGATCTGACAGTCTAGTCAGCTTTCTATCCATCTTACAGTCCATTTATCCAATCCATATTCCCTTAACTTGCTGGCAAGAATATTGTGGGAGACTGTATCAAAAGCTTTGCTGAAGTCAAGGTATATCACATCCACTGACTTTCCCATATCCATAGAGCCAGTTACCTCATCATAGACGCTAATCAGATTTGTCAGGCATGACTTGCCCTTCATGAATCCATGTTGACTATTCCTGATTACTTTTCCTTCTTTCAAGTGTTTCAAAATGGATTCCTTGAGGATCCCCTCCATGATTTTTCCGGGGACTGAAGTAAGGCTGACTGGTCTGTAGTTTCCTGGATTGTCCTTCTTCCCTTGATCCTTGATAGATGCTTGTCTAACCTGTTCTTAATTATCTCCTATGATAGAGATTCAACAATCTCCCTAGGCAAGTTAGTCAAGTGGTTAACCACCCTGACCATTTGAAAGTTTTTCCTAATGGCCAACCTAAAGCTCCCATGCTGCAATTTAAGTCCATTGCTTCTTATCCTGTAGTAGTAGCCTCTGTAGTAACTTGTCCAGGTGGGAAGTAACTGTTGATCGAGTCCTGCCTCTCTGATCTTTAAAGTTTTAACTCAGACATCAGGGTTGTCTGATTCCCAGTACAGAATTAGTTCACGAGATGACTGCTGCTGCGATTTCCCCAGCTGTTCTCCAGCACTTAGGAGTGTTGATCAGCTTTTGTCGACAGTTGGCCTCTTCAGCATGACTTCTGAAACTTCTGTCTCACAGGTCATGTTTTACAGTTCCCAATCCTTGGCAGATATTGTGGTGAGTAAGCTTGAATCGCCCTTAAAGACACAGATTCAGAAAAGCACCTGTGCTGAAACTTGTTGTTTGTGTGGTTTTCTATTCAGAACAAATGAGAGAGTTATCTATGGGGTTGAGATTCAGATCTTGCTCCTTTTGACCTTGGGCAGTCGCTTCATTTCTGTGTGCCACCATTCCTCATATGTAAAATAACTTCCTTTGTCTGGCTGATGCAAACTGTAATCTCTTTGGAGCAGGGACCATCTTATTCTGCATATGTACTGCACTAGTTCAGTAGGGCCCTGCTTTTGATTGTGGTCTTCAGGCAGGTCTACAATTGTTGCTTCAGTGTAGGCATATAAAAGTGTAAATGGTTAACCGATGAGCCTTAATGATTATATACAGCCCCCTCCCCCCGTGTTGCTGCCTGTGTATCAGAGGCCGAAGTGTGTGTGGGGGGGTGAGGCAGGCAGGAGCTGGTGCTTACAGGGAGCTGCTGTGCAGACTGGCTCCCACACACACACTGCTGCCTTTGATACAGAGGCTGCAGTGTAGGGGGAAGGTGGGAGCTGGTATGGGAGGCAGCAGTGGTGGGGAGCTAGGCAGAAGTCAGTGCGCACAGGGAGCTGGCTTAAAAGCCTTCTGGGGGGAGCTGCTCTCCCCCTTCCCCTGGTTTATGTAAACGTGTAACTACTGAAAATTTTAGTGGTTACAAGTTTACCTGAATAAACACGTGTTAGCATCCCTACTTTAGTGCGACTGCAGCACCTAAGTGAAGACTTTCCTATGCTGATGGGACAGAGGTTTCCCACTGGCTTTGCCGGGGCAAGAGATGGCAGTGGAGAAGCTTCTCCCATTGACATAATGCTGTCTATGTGTGGGCTTAGATTGGTATAATGACATCACTGGGAGATGATTTTTCACACCCAAGCTGTATAGTTGTACTGATATAGGTTCATTTCTGCTAGTTAAGATCTTTACACAGCTGTGAACACTGTTTAGCATCTGAAAATCAAATTAGGTGTATTAGATGCAATGACTAAAGGTTCAATAGGTCTGTGGATCAAAATACAATCCAGTTTGCTCTTCTGCACAGTTATGCATAGGGATGTAAGCAACTTGTCGACTTTCCTGATAAACCTAGGCTTATCGAGTAGTTGAGCAGGTGCTGGTACTTTGAGGGAGCCAAATTAAAAGTGGGTTCCCCCTAGCACCTACGGGGGGGCCAGAGGAGGCAAACGTGCAGCAGGGGAAATAGTGTAAGCAGGGACTGAAGTGGTCCCCCCTCACGCTGAGTCCTGACTGCTGAGCCTCTGCCTTAAATGTCCCCGCTTGCGCTGTTCAGTCCCTGCTTGCACTGTTTCCCCTGCTGCACCTCTGTGTCCCTGTAGGTAAAAATATTAAGCAAGTTGAAAAACAGTGGTCCTGTAGCACCTTAGAGACCAACTGAAAAATATATAGATAGCATCATGAGCTTTTGTGGGCACAACGAAAGCTCATCATACCATCTATATATTTTTTTGGTTCGTCTAAGGCACTACAGGACCATTGTTGTTTATTTTTAGTTAGTGGCTACCCCTCTGAGAGTATTAAGCAAGTTGTCTTTCATTTTGAAATCCCCTGTGAAGTAATTGTCCTTGCAAGTATGTAATTTTTCAGAGCAAGAATGCATATTTTGTTACTGCCTTCACTGTGAAGTAGGGGAGCATTGTTTTTAGGATGCCCACTGAAAAAGTATGTTTGAGATTAGAGAGGTTTGGAGTGGGGTTATTGGGTTGCATGGATCAATTTTAGGCATGTTTGGGATGAAGGGGCATAAAACCAGTTAGGACAGGGTGGGGACCTATGGCCTATGGGCTGCATCTGGCCTGTGGCTTGCTTTGATCCAGCTCATTCCTGCAGCCTTCACCCCCAGCCTGCTCCTGCACCCTCCCTCCAGCCCAGACCCCACACACCTAGTCTAGACTGCTCTCTGGCAATCCCCTCTGGTGCTCTAAATTCATTTCCTTCCCCCCTCCCCCCGAGTCTGTGGAGTCCCAAAAAATTACTAGCCCCGGCCTCCCCGTATGTGCTAGGGTGGAGCTTGTGGGTAGTGAGGTGAATGTCTTTTTTTCTGTTTCTCATAGAATCATAGAACACTAGAACTGGAAGGGACCTCGAGAGGTCATCGAGTCCAGTCCCCTGCCCTCACGGCAGGACCAAGCACCATCTAGACCATCCCTGATAGATGTCTATCTAACCTGCTCTTAAATATCTCCAGTGATGGAGATTTCACAACCTCAGTTGGGGCCCACATCTATGGTGTCTTTTTTTCCCTTCTCACTTGGGTGCCAGGTCAGTGAGGGTGTTTATTTTTGCTTCTCACTTGTGTGTGACCCCTGACTGATTTTTTTTTAAATGGGTCAGTGGCCCTAACCCAAAAAAGGTTCCCCACCATTAATTCAGGATCATAGAATCGCTATGCTAGATCAGACCTAGTTGTTCATCTAGAATGGTGTAATCATCATTACCACCATTCTACAGGTTGGATCTCCTTGGTCTGGTACCTTCAAGACTGGACTGAGGCATTTTTCTGGACTGGGGAGGTCATTTCTGCCCCCCTTGCTGCTGGCACCCTCCTGCTCTTGCCTTCCACTGGGCTTCCTGGTTCCCCCAGCAGCCCAGCTGAGCTGCCCCCCATCCCCCACAGCCCAGTTGAGCTGTGCACTGACTCCCGTACCCCCACAGCAGTCCAGCTGAGCTGCACATCCTTCCTTCCCCCTGGACAAATAGTTCCTAACTTGTTCTTTCCCCCCGCCCTGCCCCTCCAGGTTGCTGGACCAGAGAGTTCAGGTTTATAGAGGTGCAACCTGTATTTGTTTTCTAGTGTCTCTCTGAACCATTTCCAGTAGGGTCCCTAACGTGCTAGGTGTTCTGCAAACCTCAGCTCTCCCAAGGAATTTTCCATTTCTTGATGGCTTCCAAACAAGAGTGATTTGGTGAAAGAGGTGTTTAGCCAGACACAAGTTATGGGGCTCAGCACAGGGTAACTAGGTGAAACTGAACTGCCTCGGCAGTATACATGTCACACTAGGTGATCTAATGGTCCTAACCTGGTGCTGTCATTTTTCCATTTATATACTATCAGTCCCATCCCATGATACCTGAGCACCTCCGTGGAAGAGATGGCTTTATCTCCATTTTACAGGTGGGGAAATTTAGGCATGGATGACTTAGTCACTTTTTCTCAGAGAGAACTGGAAATCTAACCCAGACTGGAGTCTGAATCAGGCATCCTAATCACAAACCTGTTTGGAGAATTAGCTTCTGGCTGGAAATGTCTTTCTAAATCCATGGTCACCA